GCGGTGTTTCAGACGCGAACACAGCGACGCCTGGCGTTGCCGTTTCCATTGGCGGCGTACTGTCGGCGCCACTGCCAACACCAGGCAACGGAAGGTGGGCGAGCTAGGGCAGCCGTGTGTCGGGGAATCATGCCCCAAATGTCCTGTCAAGTCAATAAGTGCGGGCTTATAGTATTCTGGAGTGCATATTTCACCTCTGCAATTTTGGGTCTGCTTCTGGGAGCGGATTACCAGTTACATTAGAGACCTGCGTGGGCAAGATTTCCTATAAATAATGCACGCGTACCCATGGTGGCCTGAACCCACCGGCTATCGGCTTGTTACCAGTTAGAGCCATCCGTTACCTACTCTTTGCATTTTTCCAGCATTCTAGTTCTGAAAGATGGGTAAATGTTAGGAAAACTCACATCCTCTTTTGCGGGGTTATTGCAACAGCAGCATGAATGGGGATAAGCATGACTGGAAAACGAAGCAGAAACATTGTTAAGTATTTCTTGAAGCATGCATTAGACATTTCGTGAACGTGTTACCCATAACTACCCCTGCTCGTACCCATACTTTTGTCACAATGTTTCCGACTCGTCCTGTTACCCACTGAAGTTACGTACTGTAACACGAGCATTTGGGCCGTCATCATCACGGCGGTCATTACGCGGAAATGTGGGGAGGCGTTTGACTGAATCCGAGGTAATGCCATTCCGGCTGATGCTGAAATGTCTCTTACACGGTCGTTGCTGGTGCGCCTGGAGCACCCAAAATGGCATAGCCAACCATTGCATATATCTACCAGCCAGAACGGTTTAGCATGGCTTAAATGATTGCAGAGGTGGTTGCACAGCGAAGCATTACCGTGTCGCCCATGGGCAGCACTGCAATACGTTTCTTCATTCGGGCTCGGTTTGGTTTGGCGAACTTTCACTGCCACCGACGCAGGCTACACATCCCGAACGTTCTGTATAAGAGACCTTTTCGGACCCGATCACTCTAAAACATCCTGCGACAGTTCCGCTTGCATGTCATGCGCCGGCCGGTGACCCAGGACACTGCACTACAGCTGATGCTCAGCGATGGCAATGATGGGAAATGCAAATTAAAAAAAAGACCCACATCGCGTTGCCTGAGAGGGAACAGTTGCATTCCCACGGTCTGCTATTTCAGGGCCTGCGACGCTCAGGCATGAACAGTACTAATCAGGAGGGAGGAAACTTGACGGTAGACATCGTTCGACAACAGTCCAGCCCGTAACCGTCCTGGAGTGGATGAAGTTCGGTCCGACATGACCGTTAGGAAGGTCATTCGTTATTCCGAATTTAGCTAGGTATGTGGTTTGGGTGATGTGATCATACAGTGCAGTATACGCTGTTAATTTTACCTTTTCTCAATCGATGACACAGCGTCCACTGAAGTGTTAGCTAACAGTCGTGCTGCATCCTCTCATCCGCTTTGAGTAATGATCGGTAAATCAAACAGTGGTGAAATCTACGCATGCACACACACACACACACACACACACACAACACACAATACTACACTACTATACTACATATATATTAGATATATATATATATATATATATATATATATATATATATATATATCACTTGGTGCGCTCCACCGCACAGAGAAACCTTTCTGAAGCCATCCCTCCCCTGATGGAGTTGCTGAGTTGCGTTCGTGGCCGGGGCGTCTGTCGCGTCCTCCATGCCATGGTCCAGCTCCCGCCGGAGAATTGAGGACGCGCTGGAGGTCTGTGGAGCCGCTGCACGAGTGACGAGCGGCGTGACGTGCCGCCGACACGGCCCTCCCAGCTGCTCGGAGCGGGCTAACGGGCCGCCGAGGGCGCTGGCTCCACTCAGTTACTCGTGGTGGAGCTTCTCTGTGGCGAGCTTACTACAGGGAGGTGTGCTCAGTCGTGGTCCTACCAAGTGAAAATATAGCAACACTGACGTCACATCATATGCCCTACCCAAACCGGCTGTAAAGGGCAGACAGAAAAGTGGAAACTAATTGACTTTGACTCGCTGTGCAAGAGTACTTCATGCATTGGTACATCATATACCACATAATATGGTACATCATATACATCACATATTGCAGAATTATCCATGAATCGGACTACATTCGGTAATTGACAGTCATATATAGCGGGAAGCGACAGCAGACATTTTTCTACCTACATGGAGGTACAATATAATAACGGTTTGCTCTTTCCAGCCGTTGTCAGCATTTTCATCATCACTGTGAAACTGTGAAAGTCATGTTTAGCAGTGGACATGGGCGGTGTCAGATAAGATGGATGCGAGACAACTATTGTGATGCCGGAGTTGTGGCTAGTCTTTGCGTCCATGCTGTAGCGGCCTAATCAGCAAGGAAATATCATCGATTACATCGTCAATCAAATCGTCACGAGAGACCAACCGACTGCCTGCGTCGCACAGGCCGTTGCCTACTTGGCTTGTACACCTTACAGTCGTCGTCGTCACCGTCTTTAGAGCGGGCGTGACGTCATTAGTGGGCCAGGGAGCCGAGCGTGCGGGACCGGAGCCGGCCGCGGTGGCGCCACCTTTACGCAGAAGTAAGAACCAAGAGGAACGACGGCTTTGCGGCGAGCCCCGGGTACGAGCTAGTTTGGGGATCTGAGTGCTCGAAAGGCCATTCGGGATATTGCGTTTGTGTTCGTCATGGGCATCAACACCAATGAGTTCGGTGGGGCTCAGACCCCTGTAGCTTTTGAGGTCAACGGACTTTTTGTATGTTTTTTTCCCCATGAAGCGACATCAAAACAGAAATTGACCCCAGTAGCGTTTAAGGCGCGGTTACGTTCATGCTGTTCGACGTTATTTGTTGCGAAATGGGCTGGATGTGGTAGAGCTGAGGGAAAGTTATAGTTTTTCGCAGGAAGAAGTTAAAGAACTGGTGTCTGCTCCACCAGTCACGCAAGTTTCGAAAGTCACCACATTCTTCAACCCCGAGGCTGACACGAAACGTATTGAGCGAGACGCAACACAAACCATTTGTATGTTTCTGCAGTGTCATGGGACGCAACGAAACATCTGCCATACAATTCCTGCTCTCTCCCGGTGAACATGATGTACAACCAGCCTCTTTTATTTTCCTAACAAAGAGTGAGCCTTTGTTGCCTCAACAATGGCATGCGACTCATTACACAAAACCAGATTGCGTCATGACTAAAAAAAGCGTACTGTTGACAGTAATAAACTCAACGCGCTCATATCTATCATCCGTGTACAGTTCACTGAATACTGCTAAAACGTTGTATGGAATTGCCCTGATATTGCACATGGATGACAGTGACCTCACCGCGGAGCGAAACCCGCGGCTACCTACGGACTCGAGTGAGTCCGATCTCGCAATACCTTGAAAACCACGGCTACAATAGTGACGAAAACCTTAGTACCGGCGCACCAGCTAGACTATCTTGACCCGATGACTGCGAAGAGGTGTGTTGGGCTCGGACCGGGACAGCGTGCTGACCAGCGCCCTCTTGATGCGCATACTGATGTTCTCGTCGACACTAGCGATCCTGGCGGGCGCGCCGCTCCTGCTTATGCGTCGGATCCGCGCCACACTCGTCCCGGAGAGCAGCGGCGAGCCGGTGCCGAGCCGTGCGAGACACGCCTCCTCCAGCGGCGACCCGTTCGCCTCGGGCGTCTGCTGCCCGCTGGCCGGCCAGAGATGCTCGCTGCGGGTGCGCTGCTGGCCGTACCCGCTCGCGCTCGCTGGACAGGGCGGGTCGGCATCGGCCGGAGGAGGCCGAGCGGGCCCGGCCGACCGCGCCGCCGTCGCCCGCCTGTCGACCCCGACCCCGACCCCGACCCCTGCCCCCGTCCCCGGCCCCGGCCCCGGCCTCGGACGTAATGAGCGGTTGCCGTTCGCATCGATGGCGCAGCGCGCCGGCGGTCGGCGTCGCCCGGCGCGACCCGGCGCTGTCCTGTTCCCGTTCAGCTCATCCTGTTCGCCCCTCGCTGCTGCCGGCGGCGGGCGTGCGCGCATGCAGTGGCGTGCAGGGCGAGGAGGCGCAGGCGGAGACACGCCGCATGCGGCTGTACAGCGGGCTGCTGTGCGCCGAACCGGGCGGCGCCGGCCGGCCCGGTGGGCTGCAGTCGAGGCTCGGCTGGCTTAAGCTGGAGGAGGTCTCGCTGCGCGGGCTGGCCGTCGAGCTGGAGCGCCGGCTCAGGCCGCCCCGCCGCCCCGGCGAGCCGAACAGCAGCGCCGGCAGGCACGACACGCCACCGTCCGGGCCGGGCCGCACCGCCGCCGGCAGCACGTGGTTGGCCGCGTAAACCGGGCTAGGCGGCAGAGGTCGGGTGACGTCACAGCTGACGGGTGTGGCTGGCTGCTTGGCCTCTAGCCCGCACGAGAACAGGCGTTTGCTTCTGCGCGGGGCGGCGGACCACGCGCTGCCGCCTTCCCGTGCGACATGATGTCGGACACATTAGGGATGTAGTAGATCCCTGAGCTGTCTTCACCGTCGCGGAGCCGGTCCGAGCTCTGGCGCGCCCTGTCCTCGCTGAGGCCAGTCAGCAGGGGCCTCTTGAAGCGTCCGTACAGGGACAGCGCCGAGCCCTCCGCCGGCGCCGCTGACCTGGCCAGGCCCTCTTCATGAGGTGTCTTGTCATGCAGAATATCCTCCAGCGAACGACCCGCTCGGCGCCCGCCGGCCCTGCCGCGTCGGCAGGCTGCCGGTCATCCGCTGCGGCCGGTGCGCCGACTGACGGCCGCCAAGAGACGGCGACTTGCCAGCGGCATCTAGGGCCTCCGACGTGAAGCTGAGACTGTCGCCGTCGCCGTCGGGCCGCCTGCGCGGCGCTGCAGGAGTGTGCCGGGCGGCGGCGCGGCCCAGCGAGGCGGGCGTCGACGGACCTGACTCCTGTGTGATGTTGTGCAGGCTGGGCGGCTGCGAGTAGGGCGGCGGGGGGGGCCCCAGTGGCTCCAGACGAACTCGGCCAGCGCCGGCGGGCTGCTGTACCGCTGCGCCGTCAGGTGGTGGAACACGCCCGTCGTTGGAGCGAACCCGCGTGCCGTAGGGTGCCGGCCGGCCCTGCCCGCTGCTCAGACCCAGGCGGTGTGGTGGCACTGCGCGGGGGCGCCGCGTCCGACCGCCGGCTGCTCCTGCAGCGACAGTGCCATCAGATCAAAGGTCGCGCAGGTCCAGGGCACTGCTGTTGCGAGGAGCAGGCAGGTACCGGCTGGTGGCGGGACATAGCGGGCAGGTGCCGGCTGGTGACCGAACACGGCGGACAGGAACCGTCTGGTGATGGAACACAGCGGGCAGGTGCCAACTGGTGACGGAACACAGCGGGCAGGTGCCGGCTGGTGACGGAACACAACGGACAGGAAACGCCTGGTGATGGAACACGCGGGCAGGTACCGTCTGGTGATGGAACACAGCGGGCAGGCGCCGGCGGCTGGTGACTGAACACAACGGCTCAGCAATAACTGCGTTACTATGAATGCGTTTTTGGAGAATGCAAGCGATCTGCAGAGAAAATCATTACTTATAAGCAATGCGTCGTGGATGAATCTGACCGCGATATAATATCCGACCTAAAAAATACCTTCTGGTTTATCCAGCATTGCCTGAAGCACATAGTCCGCTCCACAGCACCAGCCCACGTCCTAAGGCTGCCACCGATTACATGCCTGCCCCGACGTGGGTTACTGGTGCCTGGAACGTAGTCAACTCACCGGTTCTGCTGCCGCCACGGTAGCCAGCGCCAGTGAGACTGGTGAGCCGGTGCGGTGCTGCCCCCTATGAGGGCCGAGCGACTCGTGGTGGACTCCTCCGGACTAGGCGTGTACTGGTCCAATGTCCGCTGGGGCCAGTACCTGCAGTGGCCCAGAGATGATGGAGATGACGGGCCTGTGCTATTCGCAGATGGTGTGAATGCACACACAAATACCAATACAAATACACGCAAATACAAATACAACTGCATGCCATCTTTCAATGGGAAGCGGTCACTGCCCTTAATCATAAAAGGAAAAGTCATTTTCATATTTCAGACGCCGGGACGATTCAATACAACCCAGCATTGTGAGATCAGTTCATGTAATAGCATGCTAACGAGGTACCTCCTCACACGTGCGGCTCAACGAACAACTGAAGGCGTTCAAGCTTTTACAGGGCATATCAGAACGTACGCTAGGTCATCGACGAAGTCCCACTGCTGCCAGGGCTCGCTGGCGCAGAACGATGGCGGGAACGGCGGATGGGCCTGGAAGAAGCAGCGCTGACGCATCTCCAGCTGCTCCCAATACATCTTCTTCCGCTCGTGGCTGCAGAGGTAGTACAGTGGTCACAGCTTCACAGGCTGCTCCGGTCTGGTCTGGTCTGGTATACTCTGGTTTAATCTGGCCTGGTTCGTGGTTCTGAGCTGATCTGGGTTAATCTGATCTGGTCTGTTTCCGCCTGGTTTGGTCTGGTTCGCTGTTCCGACCCGGTCTGATCGGGTTTAGCCTCTTGGTCTCTTCAAAGGTTATTCGCTCTATAGGAAGGCCGCTTTGGGAAACACAACGGCCGCAGTCAGCTGATGAGGTCGATGAGGGCAACTGCAAGCTGCCATGAACAGATTCAGTTCTTCTCAGAGATACGTGACAACAATTCTGGTCTAGTGATCCAGAGCCCGGCGTCAGCTGATCATCTTATTGTCACCCATCATGCAGGCCAAGATTCGTAGCTCTGGAGTCCAGTCAGCAAACCCTTACTGCATCCGCTCACCTCAGCAGCTGGTAGACGAGCATGCAGGAGAAGATGCAGACGAGGGCGCCGATCACTGAGAGGCCGAACAGGGCTCGCAGGCAGGAGAAGAGCGCTCCGTGGATGACCTCACAGTTCGGCACAGCGCCGAACACGTAACTCACTGGAACACAGCAGGCGGTGACACAGACGCGGCACCACATCCAATTGGTGCATGCCCTTCGTGTGAGCCGCGGGCCAACGGAGGCAGGCTGGTGGAGGACAGCAGCAAATGGTACATTGTTGGGGGAGTTTTGAACTCCTTGATTGATATTCATTTGCCATTGAGTCCTGCTGTAACACATAACCTTACATTGAACATAGGTATACTGTAAAATCTCACGTAGCAAATTAAGACAATAGATGCCTGAAAAGGTATCAAGCTGGCGCTAGCATTTTACTTTATCTACAGGAAATCTCACCGCAAGAAGTGAGCCATGTCAGTACGCCAACTGCGAAGCACTTTGTCGGGACGAAAATACATTCCAAAGCAATTTCTGCGTAATTAGAGTTTGCTACACCAGCTTTGGCGCGGATCAGCGACGCTAATATCTGTTACCCAGCGGCCGCTGGCCTCACCTTCGTCTGCGTCGAGATGCGCCTGCAGCCTGCCGGCGAAGCAGGTGCAGGTGCGCAGTGACTTGGCGAACACGCACTCGGTGAGCGTCTGGAGACGGTTGATGTGCACCACGGCCGTGGTGACCGTTATCACCACACAGAGCACGGCCGACAGCAGGCAGCAGCCGCCCGACAGCTTGATCTGCGAATCAGACACGGGCGCCGTCAGGGGGCGTCGACAGGGCCGTGCCGTGTGGGGAGCTGCTGGTGCGGTGAGGCTGTGGCAGAGACGGAGCAGGCACGGGCGCTGCAGCGGACGGCGACAGCGGCTGGTGCCGTGTGGGGAGCTGCTGCGGTGAGGCGTGTGGCAGAGACGGAGCGGACACGGGCGCTGCAGCGGACGGCGACAGCGGCTGGTGCCGTGTGGGGAGCTGCTGTTGCTGTGAGGCGTGTGGCAGAGACGGAGCAGACACGGGCGCTGCGGCGGACGGCGACAGCGGCTGGTGCCGTGTGGGGAGCTGCTGTTGCGGTGAGGCGTGTGGCAGAGACGGAGCAGACACGGGCGCTGCAGCGGACGGCGACAGCGGCGTTGCCGTGTGGGGAGCTGCTGGTACGGTGAGGCGTGTGGCAGAGACGGAGCAGACACGGGCGCTGCAGGCGGACGGCCGACAAGCGGCTGGTGGCCGTGTGGGGAGCTGCTGTTGCGGCGAGGCGTGTGGTCAGGAACCGGAGCAGACACGGCGCTTGCAGCGGACGGCGACAAGCGGCTGGTGCCGTGTGGGGAGCTGCTGTTGCTGTGATGCGTGTGGCAGAGACGGAGCAGACACGGGGCGCTGCGGCGGACGGCGACAGCGCGGCCGGTGGCCGTGCGGAGAGCTGCTGGTGGCGGGTGAAGGGCGTGGTAGGCAGAGACGGAGCAGACACGGGCGCTGCGCGGAACGGCGACAGCGGCCGATGCCGTGTGGAGAGCTGCCTGGCGTGGTGAGGCGCAATGACAGAGACGGAGCAGACACGGGCGCTGCAGTGGACGGCGACAGCGGCCGGTGCCGTGTGGGGAGCTGCTGGTGCGGTAAGGCGCATGGCAGAGACCGAGGGAACACTTGGTATGAGCATGGTGAGATGCGAAGGCATTGCCCTGGCATCAGGGGCCGGTGGACACGAATCGTTTCTGACCACTATGCGGTGATGATGCATGGCCGTAATATATTGCTCATTAAAGCTCTGAATGCCATTAGCGTGACGTTGTATCTTTATGTCGTGACGTGATATGTTTATGTCAAGACGTTGCATCCTTATGTCGTAACGTTTTATCTTTATGTCGTGATGTTGCATCTTTATGTCGTGACGTTGTATCGTTATGTCGTGACGCTGTATCTTTAGGTCGTGACGTTGTATCTCTATGTCGTGACGTTGTATCTTTATGTCGTGACGTTGTATTTTTATGTCGTGACGTTGCATCGTATGTCGTGCTGTTTGGAAATGACAAAGTTGGGTAGTTGGGTAATGTTGGGATGTAATGTAAGCAATGCTGGGTAGGTAAACACAAAGTGTATCAAAGTTCCTTGTCAGCAAACATCACTTCTTTACAACTCTAAGCACCATCTGTTGCCACTTGCAGGCTTGGCAGGCCCGCACCAAACAGGTGCCCATTTGTCTTCAGTGCAGGTTCGGTGCGCCCGGGGCCATGGCTACCATTCATCTGTTGTTTGCGGGCTTCCCTTGACGTGTTCGGAGCTAATGAGGTCGATCGATACGGCACCGAAACGAATGGAGCGTGTCAGCCTAGCGGACGCCGTCCCAGTGACCGGCAGTACAGGATGTGACCGGACGCCGTCCCAGTGACCAGCAGCACAGGATGTGACCGGACGCCGTCCCAGTGACCAGCAGCACAGGATGTGACCGGACGCCGTCCCAGTGACCAGCAGCACAGGATGTGACCGGACGCCGTCCCAGTGACCAGCAGCACAGGATGTGACCGGACGCCGTCCCAGTGACCAGCAGCACAGGATGTGACCGGACGCCGTCCCAGTGGCCAGCAGCACAGGATGTGACCGGACGCCGTCCCAGTGACCAGCAGCGCAGGATGTGACTGGACGCCGTCCCAGTGACCAGCAGCGCAGGATGTGACCGGACGCCGTCCCAGTCACCGGCAGCACAGGATGTGACTGGACGCCGTCCCAGTGACCAGCAGCGCAGGATGTGACCGGACGCCGTCCCAGTGACCGGCAGCATAGGATGTGACCGCCGCCAAGCTTAGAGCAACAGTGTGTAACCTGTTGATTTATTGTTATAGTTCGAGTTAAATATAAAACTTTTCTAGTCAGTAAAACGAACTGCCGAAGCAGATAGGCACCTTTAAGTACCCGATGTTTATGGGTGTTGGTAAGTTGTTCAAAGTCATTGTCTTGAGATTCGCAAAGTCCTCCGATCCTCTCAGAACGTGCGTTCTCAGGCAACAGCTGAAACAGCGCATCAAGAATATGTACCTGACATGTTGAAAAGCAAAGCATCATGTGAAAATGAAACGTATACGGCACAGAGCGAGAATATACCAGCAGGGCTGGACTGTGCCGAAGTGCCTGGGAGCCAGTGCTGGCCGAACAGAGGAGGGCCCGGGCAGGCAGGGCGGTGAATGCAGGGGCGGGCGGGGCTCGGACAGAGGAGCCAGCAGGGGTCCTGCTGGTCCAGCAGCGCTCAGCAGAGGCACCACCAGGGCTCCGGCAGAGAAGTGTGCAGTGATCTCGCGGTGTGGTAACTGCCGATGTGTTAACGGGCGACGCTATTCACTGCCTGTCGCCGGCAAGCCCGAGTTCTGGCCACATCTTCACGCTCCGCCGTGTTATGAAACCGCGTCCATTTCGCCGACGCGGCGAGCTCGTATGCCATCAGACATGTGCCAGAGCCATGTGGGGCAGAGCTTCATCAGCAGCCGGCGGCGCAGTTGGCGACAGACGGCCGGGCGCCTCTCAAAGGGCGTAGCGTCTCCGCTGAGTGGCGGACCGGCTCAGCACATCGGCACGCCGACGCTGGACAAAGCGGGCCTGCAGTCAAACTCTGCGCCTGGCCGCCCGCCAGCGCGCTCGAAAGCACTCAGAAGTCTGCAAATGTCTCGGGAGGGATGGACGCCGCCCTGCTCTGAATGGCTACTGATGGTCGGAAGAGAGGCGCCCCGAGGCTGCGACCAGTCCCGTGAAGAGTGACTAGTCATGTTTGCACGGTTTAAAAGGCGAGGACCTGTTTGTGATCGGCTCTAAAGGAAATGAACAAGTGCTGTAAAGTACAGCTGCATGCACTGCACAAACCTGAGGTTGTATACACTGAATGCAAAGACGATCCGACATAACGCGCGGTGAAAAACAGACCCTCTTAAGTTGCACAGCTGCAAAAGCCCAGTAACTTATAGTTGGCAGCACACGTTGCGCCGGTCCATTGGAGCCTGGTAAAAAAAATACAGGCCACGGGAAAGACCCGGTGTTTGATTCTCCGACAGCGTCATATCTCCCTGGTTGCGCTCTGTCAGTTGCCACGGGAAAAACCCGGCGTTCGATTCCCCGACAGCGTCATATCTCCCTGGTTGCGTCCTGTCAGTTGCCACGGGAAAGACCCGGCGTTCGATTCCCCGACAGCGTCACATCTCCCTGGTTGCGTCCTGTCAGTTGCCACGGGAAAGACCCGGCGTTCGATTCCCCGACAGCGTTATATCTCCCTGGTTGCGTCATATCAGTTGCCACGGTAGGTCTCAATGCTCGTTACCTCAGGTGTAAACCGCGCGATAAATAGCACGACTGTTTCGCCTCACGCCAATGATGACCACACCAGCGTAACTGTACAGGGCGTTTGATTTAGATCATAGGGCAACATGAGATTATAGAGGTACTTACCAAGTAGGAGAAGCGATTCCTGCGCTTGATAAAGCAGAGCAGGAGGAATCCAGTCACGATAAGCTGGAATGCAGATAGGATCGTAAGCATGGCCACTGGACGTGCATGGCAGGCATGTATTTACCTGGCATATGACTGTTATAACGAGGTGATACATGTTGCCAAGTTAAGCCCAGTTATTATAAAGGCATGTTGCATCATAACGGCGTGGCGCAAAGATGACATAGCGTTGTGAACTAGATGTAGTGTAAAGATGGCAAATATTTCACGGCAGCATTTGCTAGAATGCTTGCCTTGTGGTCTGAACGGGACAATCAAGCCAAAGGTGGTACGGATACATGCAAATCGGTATCTACCCCGTAACGACTATTTCGTTCCTTCTTGCGAAAGTAGATAGATGTAACAATGCAACAATGATAGCTGAAAATTTCGGGCATGCAAAACAGATGCGTTTGCTGAAACAAGCATTTCCCGAAGTCTAACAAAAGTGGCAGCCTGCCTCACCACCAATTCAGGATATTCCACCTAAGAATAAGTTGTATTACTGACAAACTATAGTGTTTTTTAGGAGCGTTCCCGGTATTGCTGTACTTCGAACGCTTTTACATTAGAATCAATGAGATATTCTTCTGAGTTCCTTTTTCTAATCTTTAGTGCACACCAAAAGTGATTGCCGCCGCCCGTTCTTGACACACATATCAGATCCATCTAGTGAACAATCAGGAGCTGGTGATGGGGCTCCTAACACGCAAGACGCTCGTGATCCTTCGAGGAGAGAAGCCCCATCATATAGTAATCTTGGTACGGGTACAGAGATCTCACATTATTTATGCATTTGGCGTAGCTATGTCAATCGCAAATTACATCTGTATTGTCCGAGGTTTGATAAGATCATCTTAACTCGGGTTCGAGAAAGCTTTATACCGTTTTACCATTTACAGGAAAATTGCAGGTGTTGCATATCCGTTGCAGCGACGGCTCTCCTAAGACTGACAAGTTAGCTGCATTCGTGCCTTTGAATTCACGAACACAATACGCAAGAACCTGTTACCTTAATCATTTGTCACACTTCGAACTGTCGTTGAAAAAGGCTTACTTAACAACACACTTTCACCAAGCAGTCCATCTCTTTCTAAGCAACCAAATCAAGTCATGTGAGTTACATTCGTTCAGACAAGAAGTTACAAGTGTAATCCAAATATCAGACTGCGTCCAGATTTTCACAGGTACAGTACATGCGTTTTACGTGGCAGATAAGTATCGTTACATTGTAATTCCGAAACAATGAGAAATATCCGTAAAAAAACTCTTTCTGACTTTTGGGGGTAAACCACATATCCTTCCCCAATAACTTTGGTATGACTTATTAACAACTGTAACGCATTAAAACTACTAATATATGCATTTGAACCCAACTTATCAAAAGTGCAGATATTCCAATGGATGCCAGACACATGCTGGTATATGATTTTATAGATAAAGCGCTAGTCCATCGCGGGGACAGTGGAGCAGACTATATAATACGATATAGCCAACTAGGTGTTGTCTTGTCTCCCTCTTCTCCCATTCCTCTCCTACCCTCACCCTCTATTGCTACCCCTGTATCTCTTATCTTTTATTTCACGTCCTTTCCTGCCTAGCAATTTCCCCCAATAGCCTTGTAAACCGGGGCTGCCGGGAGCTATTGACCACAACGCTGCCAATGGCCTGGGGTGAGAATGGCTCTGAAAGCAATTTTTGAGGCTTGACGAACCCGAGTGGGACACACAAAAACCTGCGTAATCGAGTATCTGCGGCTAAAAGTTCATCATTTCATGCTCATCTTCTGAAGAGCATTTCTCACAAACACCATCAACTATCCCATTCAGTTCAAGCGCTGGTGAGCGTTGTTGTCCACTTAACCGAGGCGAGACAAACATATCCAGCCTTTGATCGCGACTCGCATCGCTCCCTTCCTCCCGTTCTCGGCAATATTAGTCGGATGTCTGATTAGAGGCAGCAGCTCCGGAGCGAGTGGAGACAGGCGGAGAGACTCAAACACCTGAGGGCGCGCATTACACAGCGGGGCCCGCAGCACGCTCACCCCGGAGGAGGCACACACTCATCACAGACCCGGTGGTCCGGCAGCCGAACACAGCGGGGCCGCGGCATACTTACCACGCAGGCCGGCACATAGGTGGGAATGGTCTCGAAGTAATGGAGGCTGCTGGTGTGTGTGCGCAGTAGGAAGTATACCAGCACGTACAGCAGGCCGAGCAGTACGGCCAGACCGCCGCACACCCAGCACAGGATGACGTACTTGCGCGTCACCGACCGCCACCACGGGCGCCGCTCCGCTGGGGAACGCAGGTCACGGTCAGGGTGGGTCACCTGAATCCGACAGGTCACGGTCAGGGGTGGGTCGCCTGGATCCGACAGGTCATGGTCAGAGGTGGGTCACCTGGATCCGACAAGCCACGGTCAGGGGTGGGTCACTCGGATCCGACAGGTCACGGTCAGGGGTGAGTCACCTGGATCCAACAGGTCACGGTCAGGGGTGAGTCACCTGGATCCGACAGGTCACGGTCAGGGAGGGTCACCTGGAGCCGACAGGTTACGGTCAGAGGTGGGTCGCCTGGATCCAACAGGTCACAATCAGAGGTGGGTCATCTGGATCCGACAGGTCACGGTCAGAGGTGGGTCACTTGGATCCAACAGGTCACGATCAGAGGTGGGTCACCTGGATCCGACAGGTCACAGTCAGGGATGGGTCACTTAGATCGGACAGATCACGGTCAGGAGTGGGTCCCTTGGATCAGACAATTCACGTTCAACGGTGGGTCGCTGGGATGCGACAGGTCACGGTCAACGGTGGGTCACTGGGGCCCGCCAGGCACGGTTAGGGATAGGTCACTGGAGCCCGACAGGTCACGGTCAACGATGCGTCACGCTGTGAAATGGCACCGTGTAGAACAGCGTCAGAGCACTAAACAGCAAGGCAGGGCACGGGTCCGTGATTAAGCGCAGCCCTCTCGTATCGCTGTCATGATTTGACTCGTGTTGCCTGGAGGAGCGTTGAAAGCCTCCCAGACATCTGCGAAGAAACACGCACAACATGAGCACTTGACTTTATTCTCGGAGAGAGGAGACACCTCTGTATGAGGAGTTGACTTTTCTCTAGTCAGGCATTTGTTCCAGTCAAGTATTTCCCCAGTCAAGCAATGTTCCAGCCGAAACATTCTTCTAAGTTTGAATTTGCTGTACACCAGGGTCGTAGGAGGGCCATATAACAAGCATTCCAGGTTATCAGTTCTTCCCGAGCCAACTTTTTCCTGGTAGAATCCGTAAGCCTCGTGCAGCGTGGGCGGAACGAGGTAATAACGGATGAAGTTTTCAGTTATGAATTGCATATGTGTAAATTATACGATAACCAGAGCTAATAGGGTCATATAACTTTGGCAACCCGCATAAGTGGATATCATCCATATTTCATGCATTGGCAACCCTAACTTCCACGAGCTTCAAGCAGGCTAAGCTGTTCAGTGGCGCAATTTTCGCCCGCTTATTCACAAATCGCATTGCTTGGAAACTGGATACCTACGTCTGACAGTGACATGACAATTTTACTCCAGAGTGGCGAAGGATCTGTATTGATTTGTATGTCGTTAACAAGAGTAAAGTTCTTCGACAACGTATGCATCCGTTCGATCATTGCTCTCAGCGTGTGTGGCATTGGTCACGAATAACTGTCCTACATACCGGTTCACTGCTTGCACGCCTTCACGGCTCGGTTTCTGTTAAAGTCGCAGCGCATTGTTTTCCAAACCGTGTTCAGCAAATATAACACTGGGAGCTTCCTGCTGAATTTCTGATGTGCCGATTGGCAAAGAATGCTGAGATTGCGTAGCCAATTATGGACGATACATTTATGTACACCACACAGTTTGTGTTACATCTTCATCCGCTCTAGAAATCGAAATATTCCATAAGTCATCAAAAACGCCTGCTTCCCAGCGGACTGATCAATGCACTCATGCCATTTTTAGCCGTCTCCGTCGCACAGTGCTGGTCTCGTGTCGCTGCGACGCCATGTCGAGATCGAAGCGCAATTTGTAATGTTTTACATTTAGCAGTTTCACGTTTCACGTGGTGAAGTCTAACGTGGTTTCACGCAGTGAAGTTTCACGTAGTGAACTATGCTCATATTCTAATTTTATCAGAAAATCGTGCCTGATCAGAAGGTATGCGCATTTTTATACATTCGTACGGAAAACGTTTTAAAGCTGCTGTATCTCGCAGCTGAAAACTTTGTGCAGCTACAACCAATGGTGCCCATTGTGACCAACCATGTCATAAAACCGCTATCAACAGCTGCAAAGATATTTGCTTTCAGAGAGCGCAGCGAATGGGGCGCGCAGCAAAGTTCAGAATTGTTTGCTCTTTCTCAGACATCCTCTGCCTGCGGCCTTACTCTCAATATTCAGCCAGCCTCTGAGCGACTTTCTGAAGCTTGCGCCGAAGAGATGTGTGTTTGCTTAGGTTCCCCTGGTTGGCGGCGGCCGGTTGTCGCCATTAGTGACAAGAAGACTGCGTCCCTGATCCTTTCTTGTTACCACAGGTGGCTAAAGTCTAGTGGCGACAGAGCCACCCCCCCCCCATGCTCTCTCTCTCCTCTCTCTCTCTCTCTCTCTCTCTCTCTCTCTCTCTTCTCTCTCTCTCTCTCTCTCTCTCTCTCGTCTCTCTCCTCTCTCTCTCTCTTCTATCTCTCTTCTCTCTATCTCTCTCTCTCTCTCTCTCTCTCTCTCTCTCTCTCTCTCTCTCTCTCCTCTCTCTCTCTCTCTCCCTCTCTCTCTCTCTCTCTCTCTCTCTCTCCTCTCTCTCTCTCTCTTATCTCTCTCTCTTCTCCTCTCTCTCTCTCTCTCTCTCTCTCTCTCTCTTCTCCTCTCTCTCTATCTCTCTCTTCTCTCTCTCTCTCTCTCTCTCTCTCTCTCTCCTCTCTCTCTCTCCTCTCTCTCTCTCTCTCTCCTCTCTCTCTCGCTCTCTCTCTTTCTCTCTCTTCTCTCTCTCTCTCTCTCTCTCTCTCCTATCTCTCTCTCTCTCTCTCTCTCTCTCTCTCTCTCTCTCTCTCTCTCTCTCTCTCTCTCTCTCTCTCTCTCTCTCTCTCTCTCTCTCTCTCTCTCTCTCTCTCTCTCTCTCTCTCTCTCTCTCTCTCTCTCTCTCTCTCTCTCTCTCTCTCTCTCTCTCTCTCTCTCTCTCTCTCCTCTCTCTCTCTCTCTATCTCTCTCTCTCTCTCTCTCTTCTCTCTCTCTCTCTTCTCTCTATCTCTCTCTCTCTCTCTCTCCTCTCTCTCTCTCTCTCTCTCTCTCTCTCTCTCTCTCCGGCTGCCAGCGTCAGTGCTGCCTAGCACCGGAAGTCGAGTCCCCTTCTTGCCCCCTGTGTGCTGGCGCTTTGTCGATGCGGTGCTAATGCGCCGCGGTGTCGTTCCCTGACCAATCTTTCTCAAAGCGCCGCTGCCGGTTCGGCGCAACGTAAACACGACCGGCGCGAGGGTGACCGTCGGTCCGGCGCTGCGTAAACACGACCGGCGCGAGGGTGACTCCGAACGTTCGAGTCGATGCGTCGACCTCGACACAGCGGGAGCAGCACCCGACGGCCAGTACATCGACCTCGACACGGCGGGGAACAGCACCCGACGGCCAGTACAGGGAGTCAAAGCTACAGCCTAATAACGCTGCCGCAGAGGCAGAGTGGCCGGCAGCGGTTCGGCTAAGCTGGCCAGCATCAGGTTGCGGGAGCTGATGGAGGCGCTATAGCTTCCGGTGCAATGACGCCAATGCCTTCATCCATGTCCGTCCCGTGTACATACGTCACGCACGCGGCCCCAATGCAAGACAACGAGTGTGTGTAATATAGCATTTTGCGTAATGGCGAATGATTGTAGTTCGCGAGTTTGAGTCTCTGCGAACGTTGTCATCAAAGGAACGCAACTTGCAAGGGAAAGGAATTCAGATGGAAGACTTTGCCTTAGGCGGACGGCAGTGTATTGCATGTCACGACCGCAATTTCCTTAGCATTCACTGCCTCGCAAGTTGGGGCAGTTATCTCACAAATTAAACCACGGTAGTGGAAAGGATAACTATACACGAAACCTGCTCTACGTTGAGTTTGATCCTCACGGCACCTGAGCGGGAGGACGGTTGGAGGGTTTTGGGTGCGTCAACTGCTAGATTACTTTACTGGCCCCTGCGCCACTACCAAGCAAATGAGCCTTGCGACCAAATGTATCGACAAAAAACAAAACGGCCAAGGAAGACATGCCCCTACCCTTTACGAGGATGGTATGCCCCCACCCCTTACAAAGGCAAAAACTGTGCCGTTTCTGCTTGTCTGTTTGTCCACGCTAAAGCGCATGCTGCATCAGTCTAGTGCCCAACTCATGGATTTACGAACGAAAACGGCGTCGTGAACGAACGGGTGCTTCACGCGATGCCCAGTGCACATGCCCCTGCCCGCACGGCGCGCCACAGCCACCGTGTACAGCGCCTGCACTGGCCACCTGCGGCCACGTATGTGTGCGTCATATATAACCAAGAGAGCATGGCCAAGAGCGCGCGCTGCCCGAGGGCGACCGCGTGTACACGCGGGCCAGATTTACGGTTATGGCCGGCTGAAGCTTTGCACAATCGTCCATCGGCGGGACCACTAACGACTCTGGCCGGGGGGCAGGAGGATGTGGAGCGTTGCGCAGCCTGGCGTGCTGCGCCCTAATCAGCCGGGGAAAGGAGCCGAGCCCTGGTTCGGGGCAGGCCGTGCGCGTTGTCCCGCCGCCGGCGCTCGGCTCGGTCGGCATGACCCCTGCATACTGATGCCGGCGTCCGGCTCCTGGCGCGCAACATGCGGCACGTGGGCGAAGGAGGCCGCCTGGCGCTCACTTTCCCTCCTGCACGTGCCGCGTCGGGGCGAGTAGCAATGGCGTCTGGTGTTTGTGCTTCAGCTCAATAGGCTTTAAAGGGCTCTCTGGCCAGACTGAGCCACCGGTCAGGGCAGAGAGCTCGACTCGGAGAGTCGCCAATCGAGGCAGAGAGCCCGACTCGGCGAGTCGCCGGTCGGGGCAGAGAGAGACCGACCGGCGGCTCGGTGAGTCGCCAGTCGGCCCGCCTGGCTGCTGCGTGGCAGGCTGTGTAGGCTCGCGTCTCATGCGCAGCACGCTGCGGTGGTCTTCGCGACTGTGATTGGTCAATATGTCAATTGTTCGTGGGCTGTGATTGGTCAGCCGTAATGCATTCAGATACATTTCCAAAAGGAGAGAGATGTCTCACACCTGTAGGAATTTTTTAACCGCGGTATGCAG